CACACCACACCACTTTTGTTCTACTATATATATGACATAAGACCATAAGCATTTTACAATTTATTTCCTCATTCTGCAGTACACTTCAGTACATCCATTATCTCTCACTCTTTAAAATATTCCTCCATATTATTAAGACTTTTTTAAGGCTTTGGAATTGCAATCACGTTTTCTGCAATTTTGTCCTCCACTTTTATCTTCAAAAGGTGAGATATTCAGTGCTATTAGTGGTTTTTCCACATCTTTTCAAATGCGTTATTATGTATGAATTTAATTACTTCAATTCAGGCTCCTTCGAGAGAAATCATGATATATTTTAAGTCACAATTTAGTTTTCATGTTATTTTGCAGCACTTGCTAGAATTATCATTTGTCATGGTGTGATAATTCTCATTGTATATTGGTAAGAGAACTTATTCGTAATTTCATATTTGACTTGAATGTGGAGTAGCAAGTATCTCATTGAGTATAATTCATTATACTTATCCCCTTTATTTACAATTTTCAGGTAAGAATTAGTATGTTGGACGGCGATGGATGGATTTGCTATTGGACCAATGGATCCTCGTCATGAAGTACTTTAACACAGAAACTTTAGAATTTCGATAATAATTGGTTATTTTTTTGACTCAATTGTGAGTACATTAAAAATTTCAGTTAGTTCTAATTGTTCTAATAATGTTTGATGAATGATATGTTTTCAAACGTTCTGCATATTTTAAATTTATCTTTTGATTAAATGTTATTCAATTTTTTTACAGAATTTCTCGTTATATTAAAACTATTTATTTGAAGCCCTTTGATATATTCATGTTTCGTAACGTTTCGGGTTATTTGAATTCGGGGCGTTACACGACATGAAATGCTTGAAGCTGCAAATAGGAAAGTTAATCTCTTCAGCTCTCTTCCATGTCATTGATTATAAAACATCATACAAGTTATCCTTGGACGTGTTTGACTATATAAAACTGGAGTAGTACCTTCAACTTGGCACCAATGCTTCAAATATAGTCGAGATGGAGAAGTTAAATGTGTGGTAGCTGAGTCTAAACCATTCCTTGAAGAAGAATCTCATTTCGTTGATGCCAAATTTTAAATGGAAGATGGAGTGTAATTTTGCAGGGTTGACCATGTCTGGATTCAAAATCAAAGAAGATGCAGACGATCATGATACATCTAGTGTTGCTCAACCTCATCAGTTTATCAAAGGCAAGTTAAAATTTACGTCCTGAGGATTCCCTAAAGGTAAAAAACATCAAATAGAATCAACTGATATTGAAGTATTGAGAAAAGAGTTAACTCTTCCAATACCTAGTATTCCAAAATTGTTTTTGCCCCATCAACTCATGGCAGTCCAAAAAGAACATAAACCAAAATCAGATGCTTCAACATCCATATAGAAGCTTTGTATTTCTAGCTCTGCTGCTGAATCAAAATAGACTTTCAAAGGATGTTACAATCCTCAAGTCAAAAGTTGTTTGAAATTGTCGAGTTTGGAAAAGGAGAGTTTCGAAAAGGAGAGTTTGGACACGCCCTCCTGAAAGGAAAGCATCAAGATCACCTAAGGGAAACAAGCTACTGTGGATGACTTAAAATAATTGAACTTGGAGAACAAAAAAAACCTGACATCAATATTTGTAAGTACCCTTCTCAGTCAAAAAGAAGAATCTGAGTACATTAGTTTGCTTCATAAATACAAAGACGTGTTTTCATGGTCTTACAAAGAAATGTCGGGATTAGATCATAAGGTTGTCGTGCATCATCTTGCAGTAAGTCATGGAGTTCGATCGGTTAAGCAATCTCAAAGAAGATTTTAACTAGAACTGATCCCTCAAATTAAAATGAAAGTCAACAAACTTATTGAAGTTGGATACATACGCAAAGTGAAATACCCAACATGGATCGCGAACATTGTTCCTGTAAAAAAGAAGAATGGATAATTACGAATTTACGTTGACTTTCGGGATCTAAATCAAGCATGTCCACTTTCAATAACAGAGTTGATGGTGGATACAACTACCGAGTATAAAGTCTTATCTTTCATGGACGGATTTTCATACAACTAGGTACGGATGATCTCGAAAGATGAGGAGCTCACATTCTTTCATACCCTCAAAGGTATTTATTGTTACAAAGTTATGCCTTTTGGATTGAAAAATGCAGGGGCAACCTACTAGCGGCAATGCAGAAGATTTTTGATGACATGCTGCATTAGAACGTGAAATGCTATGTGGATGATCTTGTTGTCAAAACAAAAAGACGTGACGATCACTTAGATTTCGAAGACATCAACTAAAGATGAATCCTTCAAAATGTGCATTTGGTCACCTCTGAAAAATTACTGGGCTTTGATGTTCGACACCGGGGCATTGAAATAGATCAATCAAAAATTGACGCCATAATCAACATGCTAGAGCCAAGAAATATACATGAGTTTAAAAGTCTTCAAGAAAAACTTGCATACATTCTCTAGGAGCACTTTTTATCCAAATCAACAATGAAGGAAAAGAGAAAGCATTCTATTACTTAAGTCAGACACTCGTAGGTGCTAAAATGAAGTATTCACCTATTGAAAAAATATGCCTTGCATTAATTTTTGTGGCTAAAAACTTGACACATTATATACTATCACATACAATCAATCTTGTTTCAAAGATTATTCCATTGAAGTACATAATATCCGAGCCAATTCTTTCTGGAAGGATTGGAAAATGGGTATTGGTGTTGTCTGAGTTCGATATCAAATTTATTCCACAAAAGGCCAATAAAGGACAAGCTTTGACGAATTTCCTTGCCGATCATCCAATTTCAGCAGAATGGGAACTTCAGGAAGACCTTCCCAATGAAGAAGTTCTATTCACCGAAGTCATACCATAAATGGAGGCTATACTTCAACTGGACAGCCCGAAGTTATGGTGTCGAAGCAGGAGTAGTCTTTGTCACTCCACATGATCTTGTCATGCCCTACTCTTTTGCCTTAATAGAGAAATGTTCAAAGAATAAGGCGGAATATCAAGTCCTTATCCTTGGTTTAGAGACAGCATTAGATATGGATATCTACCAGCTAGAAGTCTTTGGAGATTCTAAATTGATAATCAGCCAACTTTTAGATGGATATGAAGTCCGTAATTCAGACTTGAAGTCATATTATGAATATGCATCAATGTTTATGAGATGATTTGACTTAGTAAAAATCAAATTCATCCCGAGAAGTAAAAATAGGAAAGCTGATGCTTTAGCTAATTTGGCCGCTGTTTTAGCTAGGTCATATGAACATTTCTCTCACTCCATATCAATTTTACAAAGATGGGTGCTTCCGTCATTGCTACCCAGTAATTTGGGAGAAAAAAATAGTGTCGAAGTAGTCGAAGATGAAGAAAGAGAATATTAGAGACAGTCGATAATCGATTTTCTTCAACATCAGATGCTACCAGATAATCCACGAAGAAAAATTGAAATCAAGACGTGTGCCTCTTATTTTATTTTTTACAAGAGAACACTTTATTGACGATCATTTGATAGAGTTTTCCTTCGATGCCTAAGTAATGATGAAGCAACATAGGTCGTGGAAGAAGCCTACTCTGGAATTTATGGTGCCCATCAGTCTGGACCCAAACTCCATTTTCGAATAAAGATGATGGAGTATTACTAGCCAAATATGGTACAAGACTCTATGGATTATGTAAGAAAATGCGAAGTTTGCCAAGTCCATACGAATTTCATTCATCATCCTCCGGAATCATTACATCCGACAGTAGCTTCATGGTTGTTTGATGCATGTGGTCTTGATGTTATTGGACCTATAACTTCAAAGTCTTTAGCAGGGCATACATACATCTTCGGCGGGACCAACTACTTCTCTAAGTGGACCGAAGCCGTACCATTGAAGGAAGTAAAGAAAAAAATATCGCAGATTTCATTCGTATTCAAATCATTTATCGATGGTGTCCCGTGGTACATCATAACTGATAATGACAAACCACTCTGCAATAGCCACATCAACAATTTATGTGCAAAGTTTGGGTTCAAACAGTACAACTCATCAATATACAATGCGGCAGCTAACAGATTGACAGAGATGTTCAAAAAAATACTATGCAGTTTGTTAAAAAAGGTTGTCTCCAGATCAAAAAAGGACTGACATGAGAAAATGGGTGAAGTTTTATGGGCTTATCGAACTACTTATCAGACTCCAACACAAGCCACTCCTTATGCTTTATTATATGGGGTGAAAGTTGTACTTCCTCTGGAGTGTCAAATCCCGTCACTTCGAATTGCTACCAATAAGGTTATACAACTGAAGAAAATGTTCGTCTTCGATTAGAAGAGTTAGAAGCTTTGGATGAAAAGAGGTTAGAAACACAAATGCACCTTGAGTGCTATTAAGCTCGAATGGCGAAATCCTTCAACAAAAACGTGGGATCAAGATCACTTCAAGTTGGAGATCTAGTACTTTCCGTGTGCAGGCCGATTATAATCACAAGAAAAATAGGGGACAAGTTCCAACCTAAATGGGATGGTCCATTTCTTGTTATTCATGCTTAACTAACGAAGCATACAAGATCGTCGACAAAAATGCACTGCAAATCGAACCTATCAATAAAAGAATTTTAAAGCATTTTTACGCTTGAAGTTCTTTCTTTTAAATTTTTCATTGTAAAAAAAATTGTGTTCTTATAATGAACTACGTTCAACTTGATCCCGTTTGGGTACGTATGCAGTTTGAATAAATTATAAATTTAAATTCAGTCACAACTAATAAATTCATTTAATTTGTTTACCACTTTCTACAGTAAAAAAAAACACACAAGAAACATGAAAAATAAAAGTTCATAAAAAAAAATAGCAAGTCAAAATTCATACAATATGGTCTTAAGAAAAAAAGATTGGAAATTCTTGACTCCATAAGGATCACTCGCCATTGATCACTTGTAGGAAACTATCTTCAAGAATCTTCCTTTTCTGGTCAATGGATGCTATGTTAACAACATCTCTTGTCTATGATTCTTCCAATGTTGCATTCTTAGTTCCAAGCATACTTTTCTGTTCCTGATGGGTTTGAAGTTCATCACGGAATCTATCTAGCTCGAAGGCTAGTTGACTAATTTTGCCTTCCAGTGAAGAACACGTGAAATTCTTTACTTCCAGCTGAATGTTTAAAAGTTTCAACTGCTCAGTCTTTTCTTCAACGGTTGGACAATCCAAGTGTAGCTTTCTTTCAGATAAGCAAGAGTTAACTTCTTTCAAAAATACATCCATACGTTTCATCAAAGGCTCTGGGTTTGCGTGGAATGAGCTGGTGATCACGTTTTGAAGAATTAAATTATTTTCATCCTATCAAGATCGAATGTAGAGAATCCATACTTGAAGACATCCTTAAAACACTTTTGAAAGTAATTAGTCATGGCTTCTTGCAGAGCAACATTCAGATAAGGAGACTCTTGGGTAATTCCAGATAGAGGACCAGACATGGAAGAATAGATTGGTGCAGCCTGATGATTATTTATCAGTGAAGGCAGGATACTGACTAAAAAGCGAACGAATAAGGAATCACAGGGACTCCTTGATTGATCTCTAAAATGTTAGCTCTCATAGTTCCTGAATTCACTTCATCTTCAGTGTTAAAATTATCCATGATAAGCATCGAAGTACCTCTATCGATGGTGCTCGGATATTTGTTAGGAGGGTCATGAAAATCATGAATACCATCTATTCCTTGAAGTGCATCGATTCGCCCGTTATTCTCCCCAGTCTGATCTTGCAAGAAGTTTGGATTCATGGGAAAATTGAATCCTTCAGGGATGCTCAAAAAACTTACAAAAAATAAATCATGACTTCAAAAAAAGAAGAGTGCAGCAAACGAAAATAAGGAACATACTTGCGTTTCGTGTCCTAGGCGATATGTCTAAAAATCCACTGTCTGATGGTGTGTTCGGGAGGCTGATGTTAATGTGAGAAGCTCGAACTTCACCTTTTGAAGGACTCGAAATAGCTTGAAGTGGTCTTGGTTCTGCCAGTAATTTGATTTTGTATATTTAAGAAAGAGGAGTTAGCCCTTGGTCCTCAATACAGTGTGTTTTGGACAGTTGAATGAATGGGTCCTTGGTTCTAAACACAAAGTGTCTTGGACAATCGAAGGAGTAGGTCCTTGGTCCTCAACACAAAGTACCTTTGATGGTTGAAGGAACAGGTCATTGGTCCTCAACACAAAGTACCTTAAACGGTCGAATGAGCCAGTTTTTGGTCCCAAACATAAAGTGGCTTGGACGGTTGAATGAGTGAGCCCTTGGTCCTGAACACAAATTGCCTTGGATGATTGAAGGGGTCAGTCCTTGTCCTTAACACAAAGTACCTTGGACGTTCGAAGGAGTCTGTCATTGTCCTTAACACAAAGTGTCTTGGACGATCGAAGGAGCAGGTCCTTGGCCCTCAACACAAAATGATTTGGACAGTCGAATGAGCAAATCCTTGGTCCTCAACACAAAGTGCCTTAGACGATTGAAGGAGCCAAACCTTGGTCCCAAACACAAAGTATCTTGGACGGTCAAAGGAACAAGTCCTTAGTCCTTAACACAAAATGCCTTGGAAAGTCGAAGGAGCCAGTCCTTGGTCCCAAACACAAAGTGCCTTGGACAATCAAAGGAGCATGTCCTCGGTCCTCAACACAAAGTGTTTTGGATGGTCGAAGGAACAGGTCCTTGGTCCTTAACAAAAAGTGCATTGGATGGTGAAAAGTGACAGTTCTTGGTCCTCAATATGCATGAAAGGATTTGCAATTTTGAGTCTATTTATAAGCATATATCTTGAACTCATAAAATAATTGCGGCACAAAAAAATTTAACCTCTATACAAAGAAAATTTTGAACCTTAAAATCATTGATTCGCTCCAAAAAGTTGAATTTCTGGAAAAAAAGAAAAAAGAAAGATGTTAGTTTCGAATTTAATGTGTGTGTGTGTGTGTGTGTGTGTGTGTGTATATTAAAAGACTATTACTAATAGTTACTATTCATAGTTGAGTTCCACCTTTTCACACTTAACTTTTTGGAATTGGTTTGGCAATTTTGATGGGCCGGTAGTTACTGTTGACGAGCCCAAAAGTTTTTTGTATCACTCATTCAAATTTTCAAGCTTCAAACTCATTTCACGCGTCTGCTTTTTGTCGAGCTCATCTCTTCAAAACAAGAAACCAAACCCTAAAAAGAAGAAGAAAGATAAAATCGCCTAGATATAGTCCATTTCATCTCTCTCTTTTTTCCCTCGTTTTGAGTATTGAGCTTGCAAATGAGGATTTTAGATTAGTTCATATGAAACAAGGGGATAAAGTTGTGGTGGTTTTCGATTGAATTGGGAAGGAACTTCAATGGCCGTTAGCGAAGTATGGGGTTGTGATTTTCTTTTTCTTGCAAAGTTGTGGTTTTCACTCCAATTTTGCTTTTCTTGCAAAGCGTCTTCTTGACCAACAATAAATTACTCATTGACACAATTGTTCTACTTCATTTCAACTCTCTTTCTCTTGATTTTCTTGTACACTTTCTTCATATTTTCGTCTTATTCTTCCTTGTTTTACCTCGATCCGACCGAGAAAGTTAAGCTTTTTTTAGATCTCTGCTTGTTTGTGGATTTATTTGTTAGTTTTTTTTAGCTTTCTTTAAGGTATTTTTACATTTCTGGTGTGTGAATTTTAGTAGGATTATCTTCATCTACTTCAATTGCTTCAATTTTTGCTTGATGTGTATTATTTTGCTAGGTTTTTGCTCTTTTGGGATATCTTATATATTTTGTTGGTGTTTTCCAACTAATGATTTTTTTTTTTGCCCTCCAAAATAACTAGGTATCCACATCTTAACTACAACCTGTTATACAGCACCAAACACCATAAAAGTTTTACTTGCTAGCTAGCTAACGTGTTGAAAATCTTCAATTTTTTTGTGGGTTTATTTTAAAAGGTGCTAATTTTGTAGGGGGGGAACCGAAACTTTAGTTCTTGCAAGATGCTAAACTTCATTTATAAAGTTAGCCACTTTGTAGCCTGCATCTTCCTTGGACTTTGCATCTTTTATGTAGGCTTTGAAGTGTCTTATCTGTCCTGTTTGCACAATTTGATTGGAACCACTCTCTAGTGCTTTGTTGATGAATTTTGTCGCTCCTATTATGCTTGCATGTTTAAGGGTGTTGTATTTAGCTTTCTTGTTATGATGTTCAATATTTTACTGCAACATCTTGTTATATGCAGTTATATTTTTACAAGTAATTGAGTAGATTCCAATTAATTAGGAATGATATAAAATATTTCAGGCTATGAAGATGCCACCTTACAAACTCAACGAAGCCTTGCCTATTTACACTTTGGCTAGAATTTAATATTTAGCACAGCACTATGTGCAACTATGGTCTTGTGTTCCCAGGGACTATAAATGGTAACATGACTGTTGGTGACTTGATAAAACTTCAATCTTCTTATTCTTTTGGTTTAAATACTATAAAATCCAGAAAAAATGAACACTTCTACCATCAGATGATTAATGATATTGATGCTTCAACTTTTTTCCTATAAGTCATGGTAAATGGGCTACTTTTCCAGTTGTCTCTTCCACTCAACGTCCTTGGAAGTGTTTATCAGGAAACAGTAGAGAGGTTGGTCGACATGAATTCTTTGTTCCAATTACTAGAGTTAAAATCTAATTTTCAGAATTCCCTTACATTCCAGTTTATAAGCTCTAATGTTATACAAATTCATTCTCCTGCTAGCAAGTATAATCATGGTTTTTACTTAGTTCTCACAAAATAGCTTTGAATCAAATACACCCTCTACAACACCCTATCTAATTCTATTGCATGATTGTGTGTTGCAACCTTGTGAATGAATGAGAAATCATCTTGCAAACCCATGATCTTTTCCCTACATAGTAGGGGACAAAATATTTGCAATTTTATAGTTCTAGGTACATGTGCAATAACTAATTATGTTTTTTTGAATTACTTTCATAAACATGTTTTGCTAATGCTGGAAGAACTAAAATAGAAGATTCCATGGATGAAGAGATGCCAAGTACATCTAGGCATCACTTTTTAGAATAAACTTTTGCGAGTCATTAAATGCAAAACTTTCCAAGGTCTTCACTTAGCAATATTTTTCGTACT